GGCTCCATGAACCTGGAAATTATTACGGCCTAACGTAAGTCCTTATCAGTGACTGTGGACTGTAAATAAGCCCATTCCATCCCTCACAGAGCGAGGGCAGTCAGTTCTACACTACCGACGATGGTCGGACGCCGGTGTGGTGACAGATGGGACTCATGGCTCGTTGAAAACTCGTCGCACAAGTTATTAAAATTTAAACCACTAATTACAATAAATCAAATCTTTTCGGCATCTCAGCAACTTGGCTTTGGGCTATTTTTCAGCAGCCGGCTTTCATTCTCGGAGGAATTTGTGCTGTTGTTGGACGGGTAGATGCGTGCGCCGAGATTTGACGTTAAGTGTTGGATATATTATTCACTTTCCTCCCAGTGAACGGCTAACACAATCTAAAGACATAAAGACTGACTAAAAGTAAATTGGTACACACAAAAAGACCAGTAGTTCGTGATTCAATAAGCTTAAAAAATCCATTAATGGTTGCTTTACAGTACTTCTATTAAAACTTCAAAGTTACAGCATTAGATGGTTACATTTCTCCAGTTCGAAAGCAATCTCGAACCTTCCTCTTGATGAAGCCCATCAGCGCCTGCACAGTGGAAACGGACACGGAATCAGCGCATTTCTCCCATTTTACCCGAAGGGGGCGACGCATCTAAATCTCAATTCTAGATGCTTAACGAATCTCACACTAGCGAATCAATCTTCGAAAAATCTTCTTTCATTTCTCCCATCTGCTTGCATCGTGCATCATCTTTTTACAAGAAATCTTCAGAATCGTCATCAATCTTCTTTCTATCTACTCAGCATGCGCGCAGCTAACCGCAGCAAAACACAATTTTTCCTGCATCGTAGATAGAGTCGCCCTCCTCCATTTTACCCGCATTTGCTGGATGTCTTTGACTGCCCTGCCGCTTCGTCGAAGTCTTTGAAATTGCTCAGTATTTTTCGATTGATCGAAATTCCGGACAATTCGGAGGATTCATTAGCTTGGGAACAAAAGCGATCGTATTGGCAGCATAACACTCCAAAACCACCTTGGAGTAGTGGCAGATGGCCAAATCGGGCCAAAAGATGACTTTGCCCCTATGCTTGCGGATGAATGGCAATAGACAAGGGGTAAGTCACTCATCACAGTGTGCCGAAAGTAGATTCGGCACAGCTTGGGCACATCCATTGGCACACCTTCGGCACAATCTCGTAGGCATTTGATTGTTCATTAAATAAAATGGCAGCACTGCTGGACAGCTGTCATTGAAGTTGTTCACAACATTACGTGCTGTTTGACTGTGTATTTCAGAAACATACTCGAATTGAGTATACTAGAGGAACTCAGACCAGCAATTCACTTCTCGGTTCACATTTGAATTTGAAATGTATGCTTTCGAGCGCTGTCGATTGCTATCGATGCCGGTCACAAGTTTTTCAGCTACTACGCAAATGGAGTGTACTACGAACCGGAATGCAAGAGCAATTTGGATGGATTGAATCATGGTGGCAATTGGATACGGAAAACTCAAAGGAGAAGATTCCTGGCAAATCAAGAACTCCTGGTCCAACTACTGGTGCAACGATGGATATGCTTTGGTGGTGGTGAAGAGTAACAGCTGTGGCCTTGCCACCGATGCGACGTATGTAAATTTGAAGTGAGATTTCGGTTTAAATTTGAGTAGTTTTATTTTTGCATACGTGTCATCTTATACGAGATGAAATAAATGGTTTTCGATTTTTGTAATAAAAATAAAAGTTAATTAGGTTGAGTGAAAGCAATAAAAATTCCGTGTGATTGTGCCGTGAAAAGAAGTCGGTCAATTGGTTGGCTACCAAACCAAACTCATTTGAACACTACCCAACTAATTTCCGCGGCACAATCACGCGGAATGTATATTGCTGCAACTCGACCTAATAATCTTACAATTTTAAACTGAATTTCACTTGTTGAGGTACTACGATCGAATTGTTCCGGAACTCCAACCCGATGGTAAATCCGAACGTCGTAGTTTGAGATCCTTCTTCTTGGCATAAACCATTCTGACGTCGAAAACCTTCGAGAACTTCTTGCCCGGAATCATCACCTTCAGCAGTTCCTCTTCCAGATTGAGCAGTAAGGTGTAGTGCTTCTGAATCATTTCCGTCGGATTGACCAGCGTTCAGACGACATTGGAGTAGTTGCACTTGTAACGCTCACCCAGAGCACAGATGATAGATCCAAAGTGTAGATAGTTCTTGTCGCTGAATGCACTGAACTTCAAGCTGTAATTGCCACCCGACTGGATAAGCGCCGGGTAGCACATGTCGAACTAGTTGGTATCCACACCGGAGACATACCTCGACACCCTCCGACAGTTTGACATGTTTTACTTTCTGATCAGAATCCATAATCTCCATGACGTGATCCTTGAGGTACTTGTTGAATACATCTACCGTCTGATGGTGATAACCTCGGAGTCCTCCTTGGAGGGCATGATATACGCGATTGGTTCGCTGATGTCCACCGTGTCGAAACTCTTGTTCTTGATGAAGGCTCGCCACCCGGAAAGCTTTCCTTGGAGAAGACGCCCAACGTTTTGCCATCCTTGGATCCCTTTGTCCAGCAGCTTTTCAAAATTGGCCTTGCCTTTGTCGTTCTTTTCCCGAACCAACAGTTTCACCGGCGGAATGCCATCCTTACCGTCCTTCTCGATCTGCTTCAGGAAATTGACCTTCTTCTTGCTGGTCAGCAAAAGATTGACTTTTCGCACAGCACCGTAATCGTATCGACCAGCTCGTATCCCAGCACGCAGGTCTTCAACGAGGTTGATTTGCTGTAGATGGTTTCCTCGTCTACGCCGACCACCGTCAGAATGCAATCCACCTTCTGCAGCGAATCATCATGGGAAAACTCTGGTTCCTTCCAGCTGGTGTAGAGGTGTTTTATTCGTCGGTAAATGAAATCCTTATCGAGAACGATATTCGACATTTTTGGAGCCGTTGCGATTGCAAACCTAAACATTCAAGCTGTCAGAAATACTGGGTTGCCAAATATACCATACTATTTTTTTGAAATATCACAATTTGCTCTATGCCCAGCACTTCCGGCACAATCGGCAAACCAGCGGTACACTTGCGGCACACTGAGAAAAATGTTGACCTAAGATTGGTGTGCGGAGTGACCTACCCCTTGGCAATACACGCTTTTTCAGACATTCTTTGATGTAAACTTGGGATGTCATCGTCGAGGATGTGATGAATGGTTCCGTTTTCAGGCCACACCTGCAAATCATGGCCTTCTTCGCGAACTTGTCGGCAAACACGAACTTGAATCTTCCCGGCACATGCCCACGTCCAGTCGCGATGTAAAAACTTTGACCGGGAAGCTGCTTAACATCGAGTTTGACGTATGTTTCGTCATAGATCAAAGTGCAGCCCTTGTGTTTTGTCAAAACACGGTCGTGCAAGAGCCTTGCACGCTTTTTTGGCCACGGAATTCGGCTTCATGTGCCGGTTCGGATGTTTACTGGCTTTGTACGACTTGTATCCTTCCCTGGCAAGGATGTTCCGCACCGTTTGAAAGTTGGCGTTGTATCTTCTGGCCACATCTCGGATCGAAATACCGGGGTTGGATTTAACGCACCTAAACACCTTGCTACGCAGCTGACGATCCCTGGCTCTAGTTTTTTCGTAGGTCCACTGATTCCTTTCTACACTCAGGGTTTCTTTGTAGGTTTTGAGCACTCGACAAACTGTTGTTTTCGGCATCTTCAGCACTTTAGCCAGCTTGGAACCGGACCACTCCGGATTTTCCAAGAGTTTGTTCACAATATTTCTGCTTCTTTCGAGTTCCATTTGACGTTCTTTCTGAACGCGATCGACTACTTTGAGCAAACTTGCACCAGTTGTTCTCCAGAGAAGTGTAAGCAAACCACTGTCAAAGATTTTCGATTCCCAACTGCTAGTGCTAGCGGTGCGCGAGGGGCGCACCAATTTTCTTTTAGTCAGCTTTTATGTCAAACCATTCGAGTAATCGGGATACTGTTGTCATACAACACGCGCCATCTACTCTTCAGTTAAATCGTTTATTCCCTCAGAATTGTTGATCTTTAATTGCACTAACAGTGTTCATACGATTCATTTCGCCTTTTATCTTTGTAGTATTATAAAGTGACAATATTACGAAGTAGTTCAATTGGATAAACAACACGACCATATTTAACTGAGAATCGAAGAAATTAGCAGGAGTTACGAGTATCAAACGTAAACCATTTTTTCCGATCGTTTACCATAAAACCTTGTATTAGACGGCGAACTACAAGTGTTATTTAGCTCCGGGCGAATGACTGGCAGATCCTCAGAGCCCTTTGTGGGCCCCAGACATGAACTATGGTGGCAGACTACCTGATTAGATGAGAAGTGAAGACTAAATGGGTACTATGGTGTTACTACTACGACGCAAAAGTAACAATGATGGGTTGGATACTAACATCAATCGGAAACCAGATCCACCTCTTTGCAATCCATTTAGGCTGGAACAGTGGTCGCGTCCCGTGAAGGACAAGGTTCGCGTTACCTACATCACACCACATCCAAACACGTTTTCGAAAAGCTAATGAATGTTACGTTATCTACCTCATCATTCGTTAAATACTGGGCAAGGAACAGTGTACGATCCGGGCTCCACAAACGTTGAAGAAAACGAGATCCTTAAGTACTAGCACCCCCAAATGTGTACACACTATTCGGAGAACAAGAAAACATCTGAATGGTCATTTACAGAACACTCCGTTGTTGATATTATCCGTTCAAGGCACGGTCTTGCCAGAGTACGTGTACTTTGTGCTATTGCGAATTCCTGTCAGTATCTACTACTGTGGCGCATGACGGAGAAAAGTGCAACAACCATTGCTTCCACTACATGAACGGATATGCAGTAACATTTCGTGATTGTCCAAAATACAAATCTGAGGTAAACGTAATTCGTATCAAAGTTGACCAAGGAGTTTTTTCCCCCAAAGCTAGGTGCTATGATGAGTGTGGTAGATATAGTAGGTGTGAAATAATAATGCTTAAAAAAAATGAAAATTAAGTCAAGTAATGAAACGCTTAATTTGAGTAAACCCAAATAAGCGTGAATGTAAATAAAATCTAATTATCATTGCTTTGTGAGGGCAAATCCCGAGACAGCTATCAGCGCTGTGTAAAAGGGGGAACATTCTTTGGGTATAAATATGGGCTACCTAAGCTTGCAGAAGTCATTCTTGTGACGAACGTTGAAGACGACGGACGAGCAGCAGCAGCAGCAGCCGCAGTAGCAGCAGCAGTAGCAGCAGCAGTAGCAGCAGCAGCAGGAACAGCATCAGCTGCAGTGAAGCATAGCAGCCGAGATTCGTGTAGCCGTGACCGAGGCTGGAAACCTCGGTCCGGTCACGACAATGAGGAATGAGAAAGAGGACTTTTGCCAACGTTGGTCAATATCGCCTCACTAATGACCGACTAATTGCCTTCCTGCAGAACCAGGTATCTGCTTTAACGAAAGAGATAACAGCATTGAAATACCATCCAAAAAAATACTGCATCAACCAGAAAATACGACCTCCGAAATCGCAGCAAAAGTGGGAAACGTCATATGGGGATATCCCCAACAGACGACAACACTCGGGGTAAGCGATTTACAACCCAACCATCCGGAAGTAGCGAAACAATCGAGTATGACGAATGATGAATGATAGACCAAGAACCCTTACCTTACCTTACCAATCAGGCTAAGGCCTTGTTGTCCTCTGCTGTCCTAAGAAGTCGTCTCCACTCTACTCGATCCATGGCCACACTTCGCCAGCCTCGTAGTCTGCGAAGGGTCCGCAGGTCGCCTTCTACTTGGTCGATCCACCTTGCCCGCTGGGTGCTTCTTCTTCTTGTTCTTGTTGGATCGCTTTCTGGAACCATTTTCACTGGGTCGTCATGTGGAATTCTTACGACGTGCCCAGCCCACCGTAGGCGTCCAATTTTTGCAATAAGGACGATGGATGGTTCACCCAGCAGCTGGTTCAATTCGTGGTTCATTCACCTCCTCCACGTTTCGTCATCCATCTGCACTCCACCGTAGATGGTATGCAACAACTTCCGTTCTAAAACACCACGAGCATTGTCCACGTCCCGTGGCCGTAGAGAACCACCGGACTAATCAATAATAGTCAACTTCGTACGGCGACGAATTTTATCCGACCGGAGTGTCCTCAGGAGTCCAAATTAGACACGATTGCCATAATGCGTGAGCCCAAATACACGAACTCGTCAACCATCTCGATTTCATCACCGTCAATCTGAACTCGGGGTGGGAGGCTAACATTGTCTTCCCTAGAACCTCTTCCTTTCATGTATGTTGTCTTTGATACGTTGATGGCAGGTCCAATCCACCTAGCTTCAGCCTTCAGTCTGATGTACGTTTCCGCCATCGTCTCAAAGTTCCGTGCCATGATGTCGATGTCATCGGCGAAGCCAAGAAGCTGGATGGACTTCCTGAAGATCGTGCCACTCGTGTCTATCCCAGCTCTTCTGATCACTCCTTCTAACGCGATGTTGAATAGCAGACACTAAAGTTCATCACCTTGCCGTAGCCCCCTTCGAGATTCAAAGGGACTCGAGAGTGTCCCCGATACTCGAACAACGCACATTACTCGATCCATCGTCACCTTGACCAATCGTATCAGTTTATCTGGAAGTCCGTAGTCGTGCATAATCTACCATAGCTGATCTCGATCGATTTGAAATTGATGGACAAATGATTTCTGCAGAACCTGCCGCATCGCGAAAATTTGGTCCGTGGTAGCGCGGGCATCCATGAATTCCGCCTCACGAACTCTCTTGCAAATGGAGACAGGTGGCGGCATAGAATTTGGGAGAGTACCTTGTAGGCGGCCCTCAGCAGTGTGATCGCGCGGTAGTTACAGCAATCCAACTTGTCGCCCTTTTTGTATATTGGGAATACGACACCTTCCATCCACTTCTCCGGTAGTATCTCCTCCTTCCAAATCTTGGCAATTACCCAGTGCAGTGCTCTAGGGACCGGTAGCCTGTCGTCTTCTGCGCGTGCTCCAAGGTCTGTTGCCGTGCCACCTTCGTTTTCTGCTGCTTCACCGTTGAGGTGCTCGTCATAGTACTGCTTCTACCTCTCAATCTCGTTCGTGAGAAGGTTACCGTACAGGTTGTTGCCCATATCGGCTTGCGGCACGTAGCCTTTGCGCGAACCTAGAACTCAACAACGATTATTTTTTTCGAAACACTCTATTGCTAACCCTGCAACGAACATGGAACTGATAACGACTGAACAGCAGCTACCAGCTGACGCCTATCTAGACAATTGCAACGCTCTCATGGACCATTATTCAGGACAACTGTTGAGACCTTGAACCACTCGATCCAGTCGCGCTAGCTGTTTCCCGCCATCAAAGTCGTTCTATTTCCTGCCATCAGAGTCGTTCTGGCCCTGCGGTCGAGTTCGGTGGTAGGGTCTCCCAAGCATCGTCTTCAGGCAAGTATGCATACATTAGTTACAGTCATTTGCCTGATCAGTTTCCGTGTTCCAGTGCAACGCTTCAAGCACCTGCCGGCTGTTTCCAGTTGAGAAGCACTTCTGATACGGCTCATTCACAACATCCGCTTTACTGTTCGACCAATCCTAATTCATCTCCAGGACGCACAATAGACCGCTCTTTGGAAGCTCCTGGTTACTCCAGCCCAGTCGTGCCGATTCCCGCCAGCGTTCAACATAGTCGTCCTGGACCTGTGGCTGGATATGAATCAGGAGTCTTCCACCTTGCCTCTACAAGCAAGTACAATCAATATATTAACTATTCACTGCCTGATGCCGATCAAATTTTCAGCAATTCTAACTATGTTAGTCATTGTGATGATGCCTCTGTAACTCCTAATCCTGGAAACCCGGAACGCGCCGTAGAAAGCCCCATGGAAGCCCCTAATCCCTCCGTCTCAGTCCTGCCATCAGCAGCCTTCGTTCATCATAGTCGTTCCAGACCTGCAGTCGGATGCGGAGAGGGGGTCTTCCAACCCACTGACTATGGCGAGTATCCAATGAGACTTGATGATGGTCAGTTATTGCCTGATGTATCTGCGATTTCCAGGGAGAGCAGTCGTTCGATTCCTTGCCGCAAGCAAAACGTCGTGATCTTCTACCAAAACGCCGGTGGAATGAATTCTGATGTTGAAGAGTACCGCCTAGCTGTATCGGATCGTTGCTACGATATTATTGTCCTATGCGAAACGTCGCTCGATTATCGAACGCTTTCCAGTCAAGTCTTCGGTCCTGACTACGAGGTCTTTCGTTGCGATCGGAATTCTAACAACAGCCGTAAATCTACTGGTGGAGGTGTCATTGTAGCTGTCCGTGGCGGGTTGGAGGCAAAGGCCATCGAGAACGATTCATGGAACTAAGTGGAGCAGGTTTGGACAGCCATCAATCTGGGTGATCGCACACTATGTCTATGCGCTCTGTACATTTCACCTGATCGAGTCCGTGACAATGAATTCATCGATACTCACTGTCGGTCAGTTTTCACAGTTGTCGAAAGTTCCACTCCAGTTGATGAGATATACATTTTTGGTGACTTCAATCTGCCAGGCGTTTCGTGGAGTCCATCTCATAGCGGATTCCTGTATCCAGATCCTGATAGCTCTACATTTCACGTAGGAGCTATTAGCCTTCTCGACAACCACAGCGCAGCGACGCTTTCTCAAATTAACCATGTAGTTAACGAAAATGGTCGTAGTTTGGACCTCTGCTTTGTGAGCACACAGGACAGGGCTCCATCAATTTCCTCGGCTCCTTGTGCACTAACTAAGCTAGTTCCACATCACCCTCCTCTAATTGTCACTGTTGAGGATAAACTCGTGCGTGATTTCGGCGACTATACTGCTACGGTTTCTTATGAATTCCGTAAAGCTGACCACCGTAGGATCATAGATGTGTTGTCTAGCATGGTATGGGAGAACATCCTTGATCCAGATGACGTTGAGGCTGCAGTGCAAACCTTTTCACATGTCTTGGCATATGTCATTGACAGACACGTCCCGAAAAGAACTCACCACAAAGCGTCTCACCCTCCCTGGCAGACGAGAGAGCTACGTAGGTTGAAGTCAATCAAGAGAGCAGCATTGAGAAGATTTACGAAGTATCGCACGCTTCCTCTGAAACTACATTATGTGAGGCTGAATCACATGTACCAGCGAGTCAGTCGTGAATGCTTTTCAAGTTTCCAACGAGGCATCCAGCGCAAACTTAAGCTACACCCGAAATCCTTTTGGAACTACGTGAACGAGCAACGCAGGGAATCCGGCCTACCATCGTCTATGGAATTCAACGGAGAAGTTGCTGCCAATGTTCAGGATATATGCCACCTTTTTTCCGAAAAGTTTGCCAGTGTATTCACTAATGAGACACTAACTGACGACCATATTAAACTGGCTGCCAGTAACGTTTCAGTAAATGATCAAACGCTGGATGCAATTGATGTTAATGCAGAGATGATTTCTAAGGCCGCGACTCTGCTCAAGTCATCCTTCAATCCTGGACCTGATGGAGTTCCATCTGTATTTTTGAAGAGACATATTGCTAGCTTGTTAATTCCGCTTCTTCGCCTGTTCCGAATGTCTCTCTCAGGTGGCATTTTTCCATCTTGCTGGAAATTTGCGCACATGTTTCCCGTCCACAAAAAAGGAAGGAAACGAGCTGTGGATAACTATCGAGGAATTACATCGTTAAGTGCCGTTTCGAAGCTATTCGAGCTAGTTATTATGGAACCGTTGCTGTCCCATTGCAAGCAGTATTTGAGTGCTGATCAACATGGGTTTACTGTCGGCCGCTCTACAACTACCAATCTGCTGTGTCTCACATCGTATATAACCGAAAGCATGTCGGATCGGGTTCAAACGGACGTTATTTATTCAGACCTATCCGCAGCATTTGACAAGTTGAACCATGCTATTGCGATTGCTAAACTCGGCAGACTCGGTGTATGCGGTAATCTTCTGAGTTGGTTTCGATCATATCTTACCGGTCGGCAACTAAAAGTTGCCATAGGAGATTGCAGATCAGCTAGCTTCTTCGCCACATCAGGGAAGCCACATGGGACCGTTAATTTTTATACTGTACTTCAACGACGTGCATCTGGTCATCGAAGCTCCTCGGTTATCATATGCAGATGACCTCAAAATCTTCTTACGAATCTGTTCCATTGCTGACTGTCACTTTCTTCAACGTCAACTGAATGTATTCGCTAGTTGGTGCAGGTTAAACAGAATGGTAGTGAACCCAGCCAAATGCTCCGCTATTACGTTCTCACGAAAACAACAACCGATAATATTTAGCTTTGACCTGCTTGGCTCGACAATCGAACGCGTGAATCAGGTGAAAGACTTGGGTGTGATCTTGGATTCGCAGTTTTCATTCAAGCAACACATTGCATATGTTGTTGATAAGGCGTCAAGAACTTTAGGGTTCATTTTTAGGATAGCTAAAAACTTCACTGATATCTACTGTCTAATCTATTGTTCGCTTGTTCGATCGACGCTTGAGTATTGTTAAGCGGTTTGGAACCCAAACTACAACAACGGTGCCGAGAGAATTGAATCTGTTCAACGTCGCTTTCTTCGTTTTGCCTTGAGTAGATTGCCTTGGAATGATCCGTTGCGATTACCAAGTTACGAAAGCCGTTGTTCACTTATCGACCTAAAACTTCTCCGGACTAGAAGAGACACAAGCAGAGCCCTAACCGTGGCTGATATCGTACAAGGAAGGACAGATTGTGAGGCTATCCTGAGGCAAATTGACCTGAATGTTCAACCCCGACCGCTTCGTAATAACCTTATGCTAAGACTGCCTCTACGTCGCACAAATTATGGAGCGTACGGTGCGATTTGCGGACTGCAGAGAACATTCAACAGAGTTGCATCTGTTTTCGACTTTCATCTCTCCCGTGATGCGCTTCGTCGAAAGTTTTCTTCTGTTTTTCGCCGGCAGGAGTTAAGATATTGACTATAAGATATACGTTTTTTTATGTTTTTTTTTTATGTCATGACCATGCTTGAATGTATTTTTTTTACCATAGTTGATAAGGTTAAAATCATTGGGGCTTCATCCAGCCTGTTGATGTAAAACAACAATAAACCGCTTAACAGCTAAAAGCCCACCCTGTTTCCAGTCTGGAAAGAGAGGCGATCCTAGACATCACAACCCGAGTTGTTGATCATCAAACTTACAGCTCAGCCGCCGCTGAATCGAATAAAACTACGTTAAACTGAAAAACTACGTGAAACATCAAACTCCCTTGCGGAATGCTGATTTCCGAATATCACCAATGGATAATCAACCACTTGGAATACATATTCAACATCTTCTGATGCGCGAAGCGCAAGGTCTTCCACGTCGACCCTGATCAGGGATGTTCCGGATTTATCCGATGAGCTTCTTGCGGCAGTCGACGTGGACCGCTACAACTCTCGGGCAAGTAACATACCATCTAATTCAGCCTTCAGTCCTATCCATCCTGCTCCCCTGTCACGCGTTTCAGAAATTCAACATATCACAGGGAGACGCAACCCAACAAACAATTGCCTATTGAAGAAACGACTTCTTGGCGATTTTATTCCACTTGATGCTTAAATAATAATGCTTGTACGATTTTTAATAATAACTTCTGTTCAGGCTTTGTTCACACAAATCTGGAGAATTTGTTCAACCACAACATCGAAATATGTGGTGTTCAATAAGGTATGTCGAGAAGCTTTTATTCGACTTACAAAAGTTGTAACAGAGCTTATTCGATCAAATTTTTGATTATTCAGCGTCTATTAGACATCATTACTTCCTTAGACAGCGATGGTTTAAAGGTGTATTTTTATAGACGCTTCCCAAGTAACAATAGCATGTTTAAGTAACATGTCTGTGGCAATAGAGTTCAGCTACTTCTTGAATAACTGCTGTTTAATTTTCGCGCACAACTTCTGTTCATCTTTTATTCACCCAATTTTGGAGTATTTGTTCATCTTTAAGCATCCCACTTAGATAATCTAAACAATTCATAAGCCTTAGTAGAGCTAATAACCAGATCTAATATAACACCGACATCTCCTTCGTAACATTTGTTCAATATGTGTTCAGCATTACGATTCACATTAGTAGCACAGTTTAGTTTTTCCTTGTTGATTTATGTTCACGATGAAATCATTCTTCATCATCAATTAGACATATTTCAAATGTTGTGCTTTCGTTTGTTGAACTTTTATTCAACATTATTAAAAATCAAATAATTTGTTTTATCTCTTGTATGATTTTTATACAACACAAACTTATCCATTTGGATGCATATGTATATATAATTATTGTTACAGATCAGGCATGGAAAATCATTTGCATTCATTTCGTACATTCATTTACATTCATTTGCTCCTAACTTTTTTCATGAACAGAATTCCGCAAAATAATGTATCGAACTTTTGTAGGTTTTGTTATTAGCTACAACTTTTGCTAACATTTCAAATCTGTATCTCTTATGCATGACGAACCAGAGCAAACAGAATCCACTACTGTTTTTCAGTGAATGTATTTTACATTCACTGAAAAACAGTAACAAGTTCTGCCGGCTCTAGTTCGTGATGCATAAGATATACAGATTTGAGTTATGAGCTTAACTTGTAGTTAATAATAAAATCTAAAAAAGCTCTATACATCATTTTCCGGAATGCTGTTGATGAAAAAAGTTAGAGGCAAATGAATGTAAATGAATGTATGAAATGAATGCAAATGATTTTCCATGCCTGTAACAGATCAACATTAACACAAAGACGTGAGATACATTTATGTTTATAAAGTAACAAAATTTGAACCCAGCACCTTTGAATCCTCAGCTGCGTGTCTTTCCATCCGTGCTATCCTGTAATTGATTATATCACCAACAAATCCCCTATATAAGCTAAATGTTCCATGTTGAATAATAGCAGGGTTTCTCCTTGAATTCAGCAATACTTTTTATTCTATTTATAGGATTGCTTATTAATAAGCAACATTATAGCTTAATAACACCTTTTAGATATTGTTATTGAGCTTATGTATTATCAAGCCCAACAAAAACTGTGCTGATATTTGTTGGATTTTACTACGTGCATCAACGACAACATTCAAGGGCATGTTGAACAGAAGATGAATAAAATTTATAACAATGGTTTTCAGTACTATCTGGTTGCACTGCTCTGCTTTCTAATTTGACATTTTGACTTGTCAGCATCATTTCAGTTACAGGTTTGCACAAGATGAGTTCGCCTAAAATCGCGTGAAAAATTTGACTGTTTTGTGTGGTGTAGAGAACTGCTGGCTAATAAAATGAACCAAAACAAAGGTAAATAGTTTTAATATAAACAAAATACCCACTGTAATAAGTTATTCTACGTGACTACTTTGTTGTCGTCCAAACGAAGGAAGCCGGAAAACCTGTCTTAACCGTGGTTCCACATCAGTGGGTGAGCGATGGGTTCCTTATGTGGCCGGGCAAACATGCAAATGTTCTCCGGAAGAAAGTCACTAGTCAACCAAGATTCCATGCACTGTGAAAAGGCGTTATATACCGACGTTTGCTGAAGCGGAACTAGAAGCAGCCGATCTTTCAGGCCAATCAACAGAAGCCTCAGATGCAGCACCCAGAACTAAAAAGAAGAAAACTACTCAGTTGAAGTCGCTTTGATTTCAATTATTTGGTTGAAGGTAAATATTTGTTTGGATTTTATTTATTCCATGTGACTTACTCTACAGTTTTATTTTAGGAAATGGTGGGTCTCGTAATGCGATCAATCGTTCTCCTCGACAACCTGCAGCAGACGTACTGACGAATCAAAGTACAGTGGACGTAGGACAATCCCAAGAAATGGTCTTTTGTCATCCGGATCTAAGCTTGGTGATGTCAACATCGCAAAATCATGCAATTCATGATGCACAGCAGCTTCCGCAATTGTTATATCAAACGGTTGGCAATCCCTCTCCTGTCGACAACTTGAATTTTACTATTCAATCACCTCCAAAATCTCTTCAGGATATTGCACCGATTACTGATGGCGTAGATTCATCATCAAGAGACTACGTAATTATTCAGGAGGTAAGCTTTAACGAATATTTTCTTGCTTTAAAAGAACAGTTATGTACATTTGTATGAAATATTAATTTTTTTTGAACTCTTTGTTGTTGACTATTCATGAGTAAATCGTTTATTATGAAATAATTATTCATAAATGATTTTCTTGTTTATTTTTCAGCCTGCTATTGATGGAAACAAGATTGTTGAAGACATTTCGAAGATAATCGATAGTGCATGTGAAAAGGTGATCGAGACAGTAACCTCAAAGGTCGGTTCAATGTTGGCAGGATTGAAAGGTGACATGGACGTGAAGTTAGCTGCAGCGCTGCGGATGCAAACTATAAACCAGCACGTAGAAGACGACTTTACATTTTCTCCTGTATCCTCCATCCTGGGAATTCAAGCACTTAGTAAGTACTCTTTTTTTTTTTTTTAATTAATTGCTTTATTTGTACAGGCTCAATCGAATAAACTTTACAGAGCCGAGTTATCATTTTTGTTATACATTATTGATTTCTTATATTTAAAGTTAAAGGAGCTGGACCGGATACTCGCGGTTGTCTCGAGGTTAGTGGGGATTTACATTTTTTTTTGATGGGAAAAGGGAGAGGGAGGTTTGAAATGTGGTTTACGATACAAATATTTAATTAATCCTAAAACATGAACTAATTTCTATTCATCTTGAAAACAAACATAAAAAAAACCCACACGTACAAAATACAAACTAAACACAAGGTTAATAAAACTTACAATCTAATGTTAATATTCTTAAAGTAAACATATATGAGTTTCATAAACTCTAGATCGCGTCTAGCCAAAATATCCCGAACTGGAACATTAGGTTGTCTACCTCGAGCCCGAAGGGAATCGTACAGTTCAGATCTGACTCCGCGATGCTCAGCACAAGACCAAATAATGTGATCTGCGTCCTGGTAACCTTGTCCACATTCACAGAGACTGCTGTCCTTCAGCCCAACACGGAACAAGTGAGCGTTTAACGAATAGTGATTGGACATGAGGCGAGACATCATACGAATGAAGTCTCGACCCACATCCAACCCCTTGAACCAAGAACTCTTCGACACCTTAGGGATGATCGAATATAGCCATCGTCCCAAACTCCCTTCACTCCACTTATTCTGCCAGCTGACGAGTGACTGTTGACGATAAATGAAGAAAAATTCATCGTAGGCGATTTGTCGATCGTAAATATCGCCTTCCATAGCGCCCACCTTAGCAAGTGAGTCAGCCATCTCATTGCCCGGAATCGAGCAATGGGATGGGACCCATGCAAAGGTGATGACAAAAGATCTTAAAGATAAAGCACTTAGAAACTCTCGTATTTTCATGAGAAAATACGAGGAGTGCTTTACCGGCCTCATAGAGCGAATAGCCTCGACAGAACTGAGACTATCCGTAAAAATAAAATAATGATCTGGTGCAAGTGAGGCGATCGTTTCTAGCGTATAATGTATTGCCGCCAGCTCAGCAACATATACGGAACAAGGGGCTTGAAGCATTCGAGAGGCGCTATGAAATTCGTTAAAAATACCAAAACCAGCGGACGACTCTATTAGTGATCCATCTGTGAAGAACGATCTTGCGGAATCAACTTGGCCAAACTTTGCAGCGTAAATTGACGGAACAATCATGGAACGATGATGTTCTGGGATCCCACGAATCTCCCGCGTCATAGATAAATCAAAACTAACTGAATTGCCGAAGTCGGAGGAGCATACACGATGAGGATTATGCTGTGAAGGACTGACATCCTGTGTTATGTACACGTAGTACAATGACATAAAACGAGTTTGAGGGTTCAGCTCAAGAAGCTTTTCAAAGTTTTCGATTACCAGTGGGTTCATAACTTCGCAACGGGTGAGGAGCCTGAGGGACAATTCCGAGAACCGATCCGGTAGTGGCAACATGCCCGCCAACACTTCTAGACTCATCGTATGAGTCGAGTGCATGCATCCTAACGCGATACGAAGACAACGATACTGGATCCGTTCCAGTTTGATGATGTGAGTTTTAGCCGCCGACTGGAAACAAAAACTACCGTATTCTAAAACCGATAAAATCGTTGTCCGGTACAACGTTAGAAGATCTTGCGGATGGGCTCCCCACCACGTTCCGGTAATTGTTCGGAGAAAATTGATCCTTTGTTGGCATTTTCGTCTCAGATACTCAATGTGGGATCTCCAGGTGCATTTTGAATCGAACCAGACCCCAAGATATTTGAAGGACATAGAATGAGTGATCGGTTTACCCAAAAGTTGAAGCTTTGGTTGTGCTGGGCTATGCTTCCTAGAAAAAACGACCAACTCAGTTTTCTCCGTGGAGAATTCGATACCTAGCTGAATAGCCCAAGTAGACAAATTGTCTAAGGTATCCTGTAAGGGTCCTTGCAGGTCGACCCCTTTGGGCCCTGTCATAGACACTACGCCGTCATCTGCAAGTTGTCTCAACGTGCAGTTGTCACTTAGACAATTGTCAATTTCTCTGACGTAGAAATTATACAAAAGGGGGCTTAAGCATGAGCCCTGGGGGAGACCCATGTAACTAAATCGAGAAGCTGTAGAGTTTCCATGAGAAAAGCTCATATGTTTCTCTGACAGCAAATTGTACAAAAAGTTATTGATTAATGGAGAAAGGCCACAAGCGTGGAGTTTGTCTGAAAGGACTTCAACCGATACTGAATCAAAAGCCCCCTTAATATCCAAGAACACAGAAGCCATTTGCTCTTTTTTAGCAAAAGCCAACTGAATTTCTGTGGAAAGCAACGCGAGACAGTCGTTCGTTCCCTTGCCCCTACGGAATCCAAATTGAGTATCTGAGAGTAGGTGGTTCGTCTCAACCCATTTGTCCAAGCGAAAAAGGATCATTTTCTCCAACAATTTTCGAATGCACGATAACATCGCGATGGGACGATACGAGTTATGATCTGAAGCGGGTTTTCCAGGCTTTTTAATGGCTATAACTCTCACTTGCCTCCAATCATCCGGAACAATATTGAGCTCCAGGAACTGACAAAACAAGTTCAACATGCGCCTCTTAGCGACGTCTGGGAGGTTCTTCAACAAGTTGAACTTGATTCTATCAGCCCCCGGAGCCGAATTGCCACACGAAAGGAGCGCGAGTGAGAGTTCCAGCATTGAAAAAGGCTGGCTGATCTCGTCTACAGAATTCATCGTTTCGCGAGGAATCATCTGTGCCGGCACGGAATCAGGACATACTTTTCGCGCGAACTTGAGAATCCAACGATCTGAGTACTCCTCGCTCTCGTTGTTCGAAGACCGGTTACGCATCCTTCGCGCCGCGTTCCAAAGCGTATTCATCGACGTTTCGCGCGATAATCCGTCCACGAAATGCCGCCAGTATCCGCGTTTCTTGGCTTTGATGAGGCTCTTGAGTTCGCGTTCAAGAGCCGAGTACGCTTCGAAATACACGGGTGTTCCACGTTTCCGGAAAAGCTTAAACGCGTCGGACTTTTTACGATAAACCTCAGTGCATTGGTGGTCCCACCAAGGGGAAGGAGGTTTCCTACGAAAAGACGTTCCAGGAACCGGCCGAGTTTGAGCTCGAAGCGCGCTGTCCAAGATCAGATTGGAGAGGAAGTTATATTCCTCCAACGGTGGAAGCCCTTCTACCGACGACACGGCTTCCTCTATCGCGGTCTTGAACGTTGTCCAATCGATATTACGGGTGAGGTCGTACGCGACGTTAACGGATTCCGACGGATTGAACCCACTGGCAATCGAAATTTTGATCGGCAAGTGATCACTACCGTGGGGATCCTGGATCACATTCCACGTGCAATCCAACGATAATGAGTTAGAGCAAAGTGTGAGGTCTAATTTACTTCCATTCGAAGATGGTCCAGCCAAACGTGTTACTTCTCCATTGTTAAGAATTGTCATATTGAAGTTATCACAGAGGTCATATATAAAAGTAGAACGGTTGTCATCATACAGTTCCCCCCAGCCTGTACCGTGGGAATTAAAATCTCCCATAATCAACCGTGGAGCAGGAAGTACTGAACATATATCTGAAAGTTGTTTTCGATTAACAACGGCTCTAGGAGGAATATAAACAGAAGCAATACAAAGGCTCTTACCTTTAATAATAGCCTGACATGCGACAACTTCAATACCTGTAAATTGTGGAAGATTCACTCTATAGAAAGAATGGCACTTTTTGATCCCCAAAAGTACCCCTCCTCCACGCGAATCCTCACGATCCAGTCGAATAATGTTAAAATCATAAAAAGGAAGATCTATATCTGAAGAGAGCCAAGTTTCACAAAGAGCAAATGCATCACAATCATTATTGTGAACTAAAAACTTAAAAGAGTCTAATTTAGGAATAAGACTTCGACAATTCCACTGTAGAATAGTGATCAAATCCCCGACCTCGTTTGGAAAATTATCCATCGAAGGAAATGATTGCTGCAATGAGGGGCCACTTCAATGTCAATTGCTTCAAGAGGGTCTTCACAGTAGGAAGCATTGCCAGAACAATGCTTTTGAGAGGATCAGAAATATTCAGGTACTTGAGAATATCGTCCACAATTTTATCAAATGAGAACAACCCAGATGAAGAAGGGGCTTCTGTTCTTAAAAATGGGACATCAGGGGTTTTGGATGTCCCCGGGAGAGGTGGAAAATCCTGGGTATAGTCAGTTCTTCTGAATCCAGGAGGAGTAGAAACTTCCTTTTTTCCACCACTCCTTGATTTGGGCAAGCTGATTTGGGGTTCTTCATTCTCAACTTTCCGCGAACGGATGCGTTTTCGTTTCCGTGCTGAAAAACGGAAAGAAGTTCCCTCCTCAGCCAAGTCAGAGTCAGTCTCGTCATCTGACAAAAGAGAAAAGGGATTTTTGTCGTTGATCGATGGCGTGGCCGTCTTAAGCATTTCTGCAAAAGACTGCCGGGAACGTTCCTTAAGTGAGCGTTGTAATTTCTCCCCGCGTTGTTTGTACACCGGGCATGACGAGATACCATGAGGAGTTCCCTTACAGTACACGCATTTTGGTGCGGTAGCTGCACAGGTGTCATCCCCATGCTTCTCTCCGCATTTGGAACAGCGTGCCTTGCTGCCACAGTGGGAGGCCGTATGTCCCAACTGCTTACAGTTTTGGCAGTTCATGACCCGGGGAACGAACAAGCGCACAGGTAGTCGAAGTTTTCCCAGCTCGATGTAGTGAGGAAGGGCTGAACCAGAAAAGGTCACACGGAACGAGTCTGTGGGGGTAAAACTCTTTTTACCCTCGCTGACAGATACTGAGCCCAGTTTTTGGACATCCAGTATCTTCACCGGAGGAAGCAAACGGTTCTTGAAACGGCCAACCGCCTGCTTCTCCAAGATCTCGGGGGTCAGACTCGCTTCGGTGACCACACCTTCGATCTCCACATCACGAGCTGGGATGTAAACTCTGTACTCAAGCGTGAAGAGCTGGGAGGCAGCAATCTCGTTAGCCTGCTTCAGGTTAGAGACGGAGACACGAAGTTTATTGTGCCTAACCTTCGTGATTTCAGTCACGGCCGAGTATCGCTTCGTCAGATCATTAGTAATTTGCATTACATTCAAAGGCTTGTTTCTGGGCTGAAAGTAGACAACCCATGGGCCAGTCGAGTCATCTGGATAGGCTCGCGATCGGGGGTTTATCTGAGCCTGTCCTTTGCCAGACTGAGACGATGAACCAGGGAGAGATGACGTACGTTTTCGACCCTTCTTGCCATCGCGTGGCAAAGTGGTGTCATCTTCCGGCAAAACGTCCATTTCGTCTTGCGACAAAATGTCCATTTTGCCGTACTAGTGGGAGCGAAAAACGCTCTACCACTGAAACGATAATCACTCGGACACAATACACAAAAAAAAAACTACAAACACAGAACACAAACTTAAAATTTAACTGTGGGCGAAAGAGAGAAACAAGAACAAAAACTTATCTGATAATCCTATACTACTACCACCGAGCGTTTAAACGGCAGCAGCGGAGCGACGCGCAGCGTGGATGATCTTCGATCAGCGTGTGCGGGCGGTCTTCGTTGGTGTGTGCTTATGTGAGGGTCGGCACTCAGCTGAACACACGATGATAGATGAGCGGTGTAAATGCGGAAGCAGATGCTGACACTCGATGACGATGATCCGTGTGCAGGTATGCGTTACCACGCACCGATGGTGCGCAAAATGGTTGGCGAATTGGCAATCGTAAAAACAATTTTCCTTCCGATGATGCCGAAAACACACTTTCTTCTCAGAAAAAAAACTCACTTTTAGTTAATTATTTAGCTGGGAACTCTAAGCGAGAAAAAACTGACAATTTAAATCAAGCGAATAGCGAGAAAACTTCCAAAATAGCGGAGCGCGAACTAAGTCGACCGTACTTCTTGCTAGGACGCAGTGGAATGTGAGTAAGTACTCTTAATAGTGTTAATTGTTTACTGAATCTTATATTGTCATGCTTTTATTTTAGGCTCATCATATGAAGAAGATCGTGGGCTACACTCCTGATAATTGCAATGGACTGAATGTGTGCTATTCATTGATCGATAATTTTTTTGATCGTGACCTTATGCTTCATTGCTCGTGGAGTGGAGGAAGTCGAGGTCCAGCACCCAAATTTGCCATGAAATCCTGTTCCAATATTCTGAACACATTCTTCGAGATAGTGTATAGTGTTAATATTACATTTTCTAGAAGCTTGATGGAGCATTTCTTCAAGCAAATTACTCGCAATTCAAAAAGTCGTTGCAAGGCAAAAGGTTTGCGACAACCAACAGTCCATCGTAGAGGAAAGAAAGTGGCTTGTAAAGTTCAAGGTATAACACTATATTTTTAGTTTATAAAAATACTTATAAGAGTTTATACTTCTACAATATTTTATCTAGCTGATGAAAACAATGGTCACCAGAACAGAGAAGAACGATCGGAGTCCTTCAGCAGCTCCGAAACGGAACGTGAGGGAAGTGAAGATATAGGTGAAGGCTACTTAGGGGAACAGCAGGAAAGTGAGAAATTTCTTGGCTTTCCTTAGAGCTTTTCGGTTTCATGACGTTTTAGTACGCAGCATCGTTTGTTAAATGTTTATGGTTTTTTAAACACGTGTACTTATTTTTTTTTTACTTTTCGAGTTTAACCAAAGAGTTAATCTGATTTTAATAACTAAGGTTTTAAACATCCTTTCGATTGATTTAATTGAGTGGTCTGTCAAGATCTGTCTGTAGTCTCTGTACAACTTTTTCTAGTACAATAAATGAATGCATATGTTTCTTATCTGGTTACAATATTTTTTATTTAAATGATTCACTCGTCTATGCATGTTGATGTTTACTTAAATGTATGCAGCAATGGTACGAAAACAAAATATCCGTCTTTATAACTAAATACGACATACTTACAAACTATATCAGTCGAAAAGTACAGTTTTGGTTTTTTCAGCAAAGAGATATTTACTTTATAAATGTATAGGTTTGAAGAACGGATGGGTAATGTAAAAAAGTCAGTCCTGTTTTTTGTTGCGCAACCATGGATCAAAATGTCATTTTTGTCATTGAATGATGCATTAACCAACTTTACAATTTCATTCTGTTTGGTCAAGAACCATGAGTTTTCAAATGAATTATTTAGTATAAATCCATCATGAATTATAACTTCGACATTCTTACCATGTCTGGATATAGCTGGGACTACATTCGTGGTTTCGTTTTTGTTAATTTTGACAGTGTTTCTTTCTAGAAGCCTGTTAGCTACTTGCTCCAAGCAGTTATTTCCTTGTCGGACGTACCTTTTAAGTTGAGAAAGATAATTCTCAAATGGATATGCTGAAATAGAATATAAGGACCCAAACCTACGCACATCATTAACGATGTGTTCCAAATTATGTATGTTACTGGTTATATACTCTTGACCATAAATTTCTTTGAATTCTTCTATAAACTTTTCGAAAAGAATTTGTGCTAATGACCTCAAATCAATATGCTTATCTGACAAGCATATTGTGACGGCAGTAAACAGAAGAAGAAAATGATTATACAATGTTTCATTTAAAAAATCTTTGAGTACAACAATGCTGATGTAGTTTAGGAACGTATGCCACTCAGTGACTTTCCAAAATGCCAAACAATCCATTGATCTAGTCTTCCGATGAAACTCCTTAGGTAGTTTTACTTTTACAATTACATTAGATAATTGTTGTACTTGAAGAGCACTTAATTTCCCCATGAATCCAAAGTTACCATCTCTCCAACCAATAAGAAGACGCTTCATCAATCCAAGGTCTAACAGGTGAAGAGAGTCAGCAACCACAAAGTCTTGAATCATGTCTAGCTTAGGAATTCTCAACAGAGGGGATATTTGGTTAGTGTGATGTTGACCATATTTCTTTTGCCGAAACTTTTCATCTATCCTGAGAGGGCAACGCAGCGATGGAAACACCACTGTGCGTGAAACGTAGGAATATTCTCCGTGAATCGTACACTTTAGACATCCGTTTTTCCGATTAAAATTCACAACTCCTGAAAATATACTAATTTAGTTACAAACCTATAGGTAGATATGACGCATTACAAAAATACGGCGTATGAATAGTTTACCTTTTACAAATGCACGAGCAGGAGAGTCACATATCAGGCATCTCACCCTAATATTAACAGTGCGATAATTAATTATGCATCCCTTTTCCAAAATTGGTAAAAGTTCGTCTACAAATGGTGTTAAGAACTCATTCACACTCGACGGTTTACTTTTACCTAAGAAGATTCCGACAGGCAAAGGTTTCAATTGAGGCATTTCATGAACGTTGCATAGTATTGGCCATAACTGATATTTTGAACTTTTGTATATAGGCAATCCATCTACATTGATGTTTAAGCTTATTGATATACTTTCATCCACGTTAGCAAACCATTGATCTAAGCAGGCTTTAAGACTATGATGCCAATATTTGCCTCCAGCCATGTCAATACACAGCTTACCAGTAGCTTGTGGAGTTTCAAGTAAGGTCCTGGGATCTAATGGCAAATGTACATCTTTGTATTCCAGTTTTAGTAATTTCAACAAGCCTCTCAAAGCTTGATGGGTAATATTGTGCTGAACTGCCCATGTCTTGAGAGCATTTCGGAAATGGTCGTTCTGTTGTTCAAGTTCTGTATTATTTTCCAATCTATTATCAATCCCAGTTGCAAACGTAACATTCTGGGTGTTTAATTCGATGGAACTCATTTCGTCATCAGCAGATATTGAACCTTCAGAGCTTCCAGCATTGTGAGGTTCCATCTCGGAATCTTAAATAAAAATATAGAATACTTCCATATACCTGTAATAAACAACTATAATTTTAATTTTGATTGAATTATTCATACCTGAATCTGTTGATTCAATGTCCTGTTCGTTTAATGGGACCACAGAAGATGTAGCTTTTCTTTTTACACTTGAGGAGAGTTCCTTGAAAAGTTGCTCATATTTTTCGCGTTTCTTTTTGGATGCGCGGTGAAACGATCCAATTTTCTTGTATTTTTTAAATACTTCATCCATTTCGGCAAGAAAATATGGCAGAAAACTTAACACATCGTTACATATGATGGATTATAATAATGCAAAACATTAGAATGCACTTAATTCGATTCAAGCAGTAACATTTATCCAGCATTGATTTATGTTGAAGTAGCATTATTGAGACAGTTAGTATACTCGGGAGATCTTTATTCAGTGTTTGAATGACATTCGGTATAGCTCAAGATTTGTTTCGATGAGTAATGATATAAGGCATAACTATATTCTTCAATTCAACATCAGGTTTAGTTAGCAAAGCTTTATAAACGGTGTCGCGTTAGAATCATAAACTGTATTTCAGCTAATTGTTGAGCTAGTTAAATCTAGTCGAATAAAAATCACTGCGGACACCTTTATACAGGATTTGAATTATTTAATTTTAGCTCACGGTTTTATTTGCTCAATAGTAATGTAAAGCATAGCTATTATTCAATTCAGTATTAGGTTTAGTTAGCAAAGCTATATAAACGGTGTCGCAATACATTAATAAACTGTTGTTCAATTTATTGTTGAGCTAATTACAGTTAGTCAAATAAAAAGGTTACAAAAACTTTTACTAAGCATGCAATTCAAACAGATGGAAAAATTTGAATAATTGTGAAAATGTCAATTGATAATAAGATTATTCAGCTCAAAGTTCAGCAAGATTTCTTATTAAGCTATGAAAGTAGTAATTCAGCTTTTATAAAGCATGTTTGTTTATTTATAGCTTTGATTTGTTTATTGGGAAATTATCTGCAAATAGCAGCATATCAAGCAACAAGAATTCACCAACCAACGACAACATTCAGAACCCCTACAACGAGCATTTCTCGAGCCTAGAAAGACGAGCCTTTCTGCAAACACGATTAAGAACAACCATTAAATTTAACATCAAGTGGAAATATCTTCCAAACAGCGTGGTTTGAAGGTGGAGTATGTGTAGTACCTCCTTCATCATACAGTTTGGCCGCTAACAGATCAACTTTATGGCGAATTACTAAAACCACTTGCATTTCCAAGCTGGTATATGGGGTTGAGCAATTCGGACTCGAGCTGCAACTCTTTCCAAACCACCTTTAATCCGATCATAAGAATCGCCTCAGGTGCAATGCAATCCTTTCCAAAATGTGCGTGATTTGTGGGTAGGAAACGGTTTTCGGGACTAAAATATATGTTGTCTGCGTTAAAAGTAATACAAAGTTTAAAAATTGTATGAATGGTTAGCTAATGGAATGGACATAGAGAGCGGTGCCGGTGGTGTAGTGGTAAGCGTGATTACCTCTCACCCCAGCAGGCCTGGGTTCAATCCCAGTCGGCGCCGCCGGGATGTTCTGAGGCATAACATCTCTGATCACAACTTCCTTCGCAAGGGAAGTAAAGCCGTTGGTCCCCGGTTCATGAGTTGATGGGTCGATAGGTAGGGTCCAGGTGTATGGGAGCTGCCGTTCTATCCGTCCTATCGCCCGGGATGTGCCGCAGAATCCAAATAAAACGGCGCACGAGTCTATCGGTGAGACGGTTTTAACAAATGTCGCATAACCGGCTGTTGCTGTACGGTAAGATTTCAAACGGTTAACCAAAACGTAGCAACTGTAACTGCGAGTTTTTTAAATAATTCATCGCTACCTACATAATTCAGGCTGCAAATGTGTTTGTTTGGGACTGGGGCTAAAATTCAAATTTCCCAAAATTTAATCATGCTTAGATTTGAAGTGCCTGCCATTTCCGAGGGGAAAAAGTTTATGCTACGATACGATCTAGCATGAGCTCGATTTTATCTTTTCGAAGCCAAAAGTGTCACTTAACGACCAAAGCATTGTCATGATCTGTCAATTCGTAAACTCTCCGAAACACCTGTGGCCTGGTTTGAACAAAGGAAATTTTTGACCGACAGCGAGCCAAAATCTGCTGATAAAAAATAATAATGATAAATCAACACGCACCAGTGTCAATTTCGAAGAGAAGCGTCATAAATCAATTTTATATTCACAGACACCACGCAAATTTGCTTCTTTGTTTGCTTGCATTCAGTTTATTACTTTCGCTACGTGTTGAGTTGTATTTTGAATTTTCTGTGCCAGTTCGAATGACATTTTGATGGATTTGGTTTTAATTCCAATCTTGCAATTCTGTCGTAATCTGTCATCTCTTTCGACAGACCGATAGTTGTGATTGGAAATTTATAATCAAACGCATCGGAATTTTGCACTGGTGCTCGGGATGCTGTCTGCAATGATATTGTCGTTCTTAAATAGACATTGCCTCGCAATGCTAATGGAAATGCCTGTTCCTTGGAGTTTATAATCAAATTTCATAATTCAAAACAGCTACTTTCTCGTTCGTCAGTACATTAGGGCCTCGCGTAGCACAGCTAAATCATCCCGACCTGAGTGAAAGTTGGTTTTATGGCTGCCTGCAATGAATATTTATTCCCCTACCGACAAAACCGAACCATGGTTGGCTTCGGAACCCTGTGCCGTCGGCAACCAATTCCCAGTAAAT